TGTGTGTGTGTGAGAGAGAGACCACTGACAAAGCATGTCTGCTGTGTGATCCCAGACGAAAGGCTTACGAGTGGGCGGCTGTGTCAGCAGCGGCTGTTTGTATATCTCTGTGATGGTGTCAGATCCCCACCGAGTTTCTGCAACCCGAATGATTCTCCGAGTCTAATGAGCTTGTAGAATAAACATTTACCAAAAACACTGTTGTATCAATAACATATTGTACGTATTACATCCTGTGTCAATTTGTCTCTTTGTGTTTGTGTGTGCAGCACGACTGGGCAGTGGGTCCACATCAGGCAGCTCTGCTCCTGAGAGGAGGGTCCACAGGCTGCTCAGCTTCCAGAGGTACCTGCACTCGTCCCGTCTTTTGCGTGGAGTCCCCCAGCAGATCCCCCTCCACATCCTGGATGAAGACTACACTGGACAGGCCAGAGTATGACACCTACCTTCCTTATAACGATACCATGTTGAGACTTGCAGATGTAGCACATAATTTGCTTTGTTAAAACTTCACATCACTAATTCTATGCTTCTCTTTTCCCTCTCTTGTAGTGCATGCTGGAAAAAGTCGGGAACTGGAATTTTGACATTTTCCTCTTTGATAGGCTGACGAACGGTAGGTAAAATAGGAAATAAGGGTCAGAAGGTGTTTTGGCAACAGTAATGCAGCGCTGACAGGAGAATCCAGTATTAAACCAGCCTTAGATTCAATGTGTTATTATGGTGCCATCTATTGGATAGACACAGGATTCACTGTATGAAAATTAACTCTATAATTGAATCACTGAATTTTATTTTGTAAAGGAGAAAAAACCTTTCATGCTCTTTTGGGTCTATTTTATTGTCATTTGCTTGCTTAAGAGGACACAACATATTAAGTATAAGCATATTGAAATCAATACATATTTCTGCAGCGACAGTAGCCTAAGTAGATAAGAATGTGGTCCAGGCTCAGGATATGTGATTATGAACAAGGGGCATGACTTAAACCATACATGACTATAAAAACAAAATATGTTCTTGATTTTTATATGTTCTCTCCATTCACCTGTTTTGATGCATACTGTGTATTTAAATAGCAAGAGCTAGGAAAGGGGATGGCAAGAGATAACAGCTGCAGTGCTTTGGAATAAAATGGAAGAAAAATCACAAGACACAATTATAGAATTTGAAGTAGAGGAGAAAGTGAAGAAGGGGTAGTCGAGGCAGGTGGCAGAAAAAGTTCCCCAATAAAATAAATGGCAAAAGAAGAAACACTGTCTAACAGTGCAGTTTCTACTTATTAATGCCAGTGAAAAGAGAAAGCAGAGTGCTCACTCTGTTTGTCTTTCTTGTTCAGGAAACAGCCTGATCACTCTGACCTTCCACCTGCTGAACCAGTATGGCCTGGTGGAGCTCTTCCAGCTGGACATGGTCAAACTCTGGAGGTTCCTGGTCATGGTCCAGGAGGACTACCACAGCGACAACCCCTACCACAACGCTGTTCACGCTGCAGATGTCACACAGGCCATGTACTGCTACATGCGGGAACCCCTGGTGAGACATGCAAACAAGACATTTTTGTTCTCGTTGGCTCAAGAAACTACCTTTAACGCAGTTGATAATTACAATTTCAAGATCTGAAAGTGTTAATAATGAATCATCATAATCTTTGTGCCATATTATTCTTGTGAGTGCAGCTTGCCAAGTCTCTGACCTCCTGTGACATCCTACTGGGCCTCCTAGCAGCAGCCACACATGACCTGGACCATCCTGGGGTCAACCAGCCTTTCCTCATCAAGACTGACCACTATCTAGCTACACTCTATAGGGTAAAACTACGTAACAGCCTTTAGTCTGCCAGATCTTACTCATGAATGTACCGTAGTGGAAGACATCACATGATTTATTAAATTAATGTGTATGCGCACATTTTTCCTTTTTTAATCTTCAGAATACCTCAGTTCTGGAAAACCACCACTGGAAGTCGGCAGTGGGCCTTCTCAGAGAGACTGGGCTGTTCTCTCATCTGCCTGCTGAAGACAGGTCAGTCTTACGCTGAAATGATGCTAACTGCACACACAACACTAGATAGCACCCACTGAAAGGTTGTACGTGTTACCACAGAAAGTGAAGTTATTTAAAAAGACTTCTCTGCCACCATCAACGATCATTTTGTCTTTCCAACCCCTTAGCCTGAATATGGAGAGGGAGTTGGGCTCCTTAATCCTGGCCACGGACATCAGCAGACAGAATGAGTACCTATCTAGGTTTCGCTTGCACCTGGACCAGGAGAACCTGTGCTTGAGCAATGCCAGCCACCGTCACTTCATCCTGCAGGTCGGTTACCTCGTCCGTCATAAACACACAACTTCAGCAGCTCAGGGAAAACTGTGAGCTCTTATTTTGTTTTCGTTCCCATCCTTACAGATGGCTTTGAAGTGTGCAGACATCTGTAACCCCTGCAGACCCTGGGAGCTGAGCAAACAGTGGAGTGAGAAAGTGACCGAGGAATTCTTCCAACAAGGTTCTTTATTTCTGCTGCCTGCTGTTATATTGTTTGTCATTCCCTTTCACTTATTTGTTTTGCTCTTTTCTTTAGTGCCATTACATTACCTTCCTTTGTCCTTTCTGTGTATATTCTCGATAACCAAACAATTGCATAACAGTAGAACATATGATAATAATAGCTCATGTATTATATTTCTATTTCCTTTTAGGAGAAATTGAGAAGAAGCACAAACTTGAAGTCAGCCCACTTTGTGACAGAGTGGCCAACACAGTTGGCAACATTCAAATAGGTAGGTAGCTGTGTTGCATTCAGCTTTCACTTATAACTCGATTCTAATCTTTAGCCCTAATCTACGTCTGCTGCCTCTTCTCCACCTTCAGGCTTCATGACGTACGTGGCAGAGCCGCTGTTTGCAGAGTGGGCCCGTTTCTCCGACACACGTCTGTCCCAGACCATGCTGGGCCACATGGGGCTGAACAAGGCCAGCTGGGGCGGGCTGCAGCAGGAACAAACCTCTGTCTCCGAAGAGGCGGAGCCCAGCACAGCCGGCGCCGAAGCAGAGGACGGTGCTGCACGGACAGACGGCAACACCGCCACAACTGCAGGAGGAACCAGCTCCAAAGAAATACCTCAGGGAAGCAGAAAATCCTGACACTCCTCGTGGGCCCTTTCACCTCAACCACCTGACCCCTGACCCCGGCCTCAGGGCCTCACCACACACTGGGGGCCGGGTGGGGCATGCGATGGCCTGCTGCCCCCTGCCACTGCCCCACCTGATCCTAACACCTTGTTTATGTTTTGTTGCTTTTGCCTCCCATCTTGATAAACCACTGATTTTATTTAATTTATTTAATTTTTAATTCCTCTTTTTTGGCATAGAGCAATACATAGATACCTCATTTGGCTACTGCTGTATTTACTTTCATTTTCTTTTTATTTATTTGTCCACTGTAGTTTTGGCATTACTGACTGAACGTACCACTTTTTGTGTTGGTGAACCTTAAGGGGAAAGCAGTATAAGAACTAAAGAAGACATTTTCCTGGTATTTGAAGTGCCATTTGAAAACAAAGATTTAAAGAATGATCTGAACTGAATTAACTGAGACAACTGGAGTATTCCGACACGAGACCCTCCTAAGACTTTAAAGTAAAGCCGTGTTGCGTTTGTATTGAAGATTCTTCCTCATGTAAAAAAGAAAAAAAAAAAATGTGACAAGCCCAGTCCTTTTGCTGCCTCTACGAAGACTGTTTACGCATCTCTTCTTGTTCGTTGTTTCTTTCCCTTGAAATGAAGTGAATCATGTCGGCTCCACGGTTTGCCTTCGGAAGCGCAGATGTGAAGAACCACTCGTTTGAACTGTCATCCCACTGTTGAAGCCATGAGCAGAACCTTATTCAAACACACCAGATGCCATAAGTAACTCCACCTGTGCTACAATGTGTTCTTGCACTCCCAAATAACAATGGTGTTGGATGTGCAGCTTCGTCTCCATGACATCTCCAAGAGACCCTGTGAAGGTATTGTAGAAATTAGTCCTTTTTCCTGATGATGTTTCCGACTCTTCCAGTGCTGGTTGAACTCGGGGTAGCTTCCCTCCCAGACTGGAGATCAGTTACTCACTGCACATGCATCTCACCTGGAAGTCCACTCCACGCAACTCGACTCGCTCAGGGTTTTGCCAGTCTCTTATCAAGAGGGAGAGGGGGAGGAGGTGACTGCGGGCAATGCAAGGTTGTTGTTTTTTCTTTTTTCCTGGCTAGGATCTACTGAAGGAGACTCTCCCTCTCCGCAGAATGTCTCTCTCAGCCACATGCAACCTAAAGGACTGCTCGATTGATGCCTTATAACTATGCACAAACTATGCTAAGTGACCAAACCAGCTCCTGTTCCCATCAAGTGCATGGTGTGCTTGTCTTTGAATGCACTGTCCAATCCCTTTGCCTTTTTGTTGTGAGGAACAACTCCAGCTGTCCTTTTTTTGTACGGAAACAAAAATGGTCGAGTGACTTTGAACATTCCATTTCTTTGTGTTTGGTTTGTCTACTTTGATTCTGTATAGTGGCACAAATTGTGTTTGTGTTTAAACATTTTGAAAGATAACAGGTGCTTTTCTTACTTTAGCTGATTTGTATTTTGCTGTAAGTGCTGTAAGACTGTTGATAAAACTGTTTACAATTTGTTGCGACAGCCATTTTTGGGAAGACTTAAGTGTCGAGCCAGATTTTGTAAAGGCTTTGCTGTATTGACCTTTTTGATACATGCCTGTTGCAGTTACAATTTGAATAATAAAAACCTGTTGTTGACAAATGTTTCTTTGACTGTCACAGTTAAAGCATAATAATCCTATATATGATCCCTAATACAATAGCAGAAATGTTAATTATAAATCAGTGATCAAGTTAAACTTCGTTAATCTCTGTGGGGCAACTTTTCTGTCATCTTTGACTGACCCTAACGGTTTAATATGAAGGCAGGCGACTTTCATTAAAGTAGAACTCAACCATGACGTCAATAGAACAAGTCAGAATCAGGCAGACCACAAACTTTTATTTCGAGATTCCACAATTCAAGTAATTTTTATGGAAGACAACTTTTCTCCAAAATCTTGAATAGTACATTTAAATCACTTAATTACTACGGACACACCCAGTTAATATACTAATACTAGCACAGTTGTCTTGAAGCAGCAACTACACTGGCATAGTGAACAGAATTGGAAACTGTGTGCAATCAGTCCCTTTGAACATAATACTGCCTATAAAACCAAACATTAGCCCAGAGGAGTCTGTTTGATCTGTGAGTGATTTTCAAACTGAGGCATGAAAATGTGATTACTGGCACAAAAGCATAATTTATAACTTTCCGATACTGAACAGTGGGTGCCTTAGGACCCATGACTAAAATATGTTGTGAATACAGAGTGAGCTACAACAATGCAGCATTTCTGTTCAGCTGCTTAAGTTCTGGGAAAGTGATTTGAGATAAAAAGCTAATCTTATCAACCATAGTACACAGATTTCACCTGGACCGTCATTAACCTAGAAATATGAACTTTGCTGAACAGTTATCTGTTTTCCTTGCTTTTTGAACATCCTAAATTGGAAAAGGAATGTGGAAAGGTAATGTTGGGCAGTGAACAGCAGAATCTCACTGGAATGTCTTTGGCTCTTAAACATGAATTGTAGTAAAGAGATAAATAATATCAACTAAAACTGGGATACATATTTGACCAGCAAAGACATACAAGCCCTGGCAAGACTGGCAACTCGGACACAACTTACTCAGGCTCCACATATAAAGTACAAAAACCCACCTAATATTATTAATAACGGACAAATCTAGGACATAATTACCTGTGTTAAAATCTTAATTATTTACTTGAACAACAACATAAATATAAGGATCCCAATCATAAATTAGTCTACAGGTCAAACAAATATAAAGAATACAGCACAATATTCCACAAGAAAGAAAGTGCTGCTTTCCCTTAAAAATGGGAATAACCAACTATGTTATGTGCAATATGTTTTAACAGAAAACCTAAGAAATGATTGAACAATAAAACCAACATTTAACGATATTGTAGTGTGGTTGAAACATGTGCTTCGATACTTTCACTCAAGCCTGTGATAAGCAGAAGTGTAGACTACAACACAAAAACAAAAGACATTCAGTAAAACAAAAGAAATCATGTTTGTAAAACAGAAAGCTAATATTATAAGTTATAAAAGTGCAAAAACAGATGGTCAAGATGATCACTGGATGCAACACTATGAGATGACAGCTACCTGGAGCAGACTGTTGTCTAGTCCAGGCAGAATCCCTTGTCCTTCCACAGAGAGACAGCCGATATTAAAAGCTTGATAAGGCACTTCAAAGTGTCCACGGTACCTCTGGACCCCGAGTTCAGAATCACTTGTTCAGAGTATCTTCCTTTTTCCAGTTTGTTTCAACATGTGCTGCCCAAACTGTGAAAACAGACAGAAGAGAGAATAAAGGACACGACACCGTACAAACCACGAGAACAATTTTTCCACTGAGGATGAATTAACGCCGGGTTTTGTGGCATCTGTGGCTTGTTTTTTGTAACAGCAATGAATACAGCAACATCTCTCACCAAGGGGGTTTCTGTTTTAGGTTTCACATCTGGAACGGGAAGTTTGAATTCCTCCTTGTCCTCTCGCTCACTGTCGTGTCGATAACGATGGGCAAACTTGCGTTTCAGGGCCTCTGCGATGAGAGTTGCAGCATCCGCCGGCTCGTTGGACTTCACTTTGGTGTCACCGTCTACTGGACGACTGCGAAAACAAACAAGAGTGATAACGAATTCTATTTATTAGAAGGTGCATGCAGATATGATACACTACGCAATAAGGCGAAGACGTGTCAACTTGAGTTTAATAAGTGGTTATGCAGAGAATACAGAGACAAGACCCCACTCTGAGCTGGAATACACATCTATTAAACTTTCAAAAACACCAAGTCTCCACATTTGATCACTTCTGAATGCATTTTCATCAGTTTACTACTTAAGTTGAGGCCCACCTTTTAACTGATCGCAACTTGACTTTGCTCATGTCTTTTAGGACATCAAGCATGTTGGGAATGGATTCTGCTGGCTTTGAATCCAAAGGGGTCTGGCCGTCTGTCTTCTTCCCTCTGCGCTCCTTTATCAAGTCAATGGCAGAAAATGTCCGCTGGAGACTTGGGGGTGGTGGTAGTGGTGGAGGAGGTGGTGGTGGGGGCGGGGGAGGCAGGGTGCCAGAGGGTGGAGGGGGAAGTGTCCCTGTGGTAGCAGCTGTGGTGAAACAAAGGAAAGGAAAAAAAATCATGTGTAAGATGTGAAATTCTGCTGCCATCTAGTGGAAAATGTACGTTACTACAGTGGAGCAAAAACATGAAAATAAATGCCTCCATAGGGGAGAGAGGTACGTCTATGTTTGGAAGGGATACCTGGCTGTGCGCTCTTTTCTTGAGCAAGAACGATTTGTGCTATCTGAGCTCTGAGTTTGGCAAGTTCTGTCTCCAGTGCGCTGATCTTCTGAATGGCCTCATCGTTGGCGACTGTTGGCCCCTGGGGGTCCGGAGGTCCCTCATGCAGGCTTGGTAGTGACCTCTGGCGGGTTAAGGATTTTTGCTGAGGATGAGGATGAGGCTGAGGCTGGCGGGTTCGAAACACGAGTCCTGGTGGGATTCCTGACCTGCTTTAATAAGACAGAATTGCATTTTTCCAGACACTCCTCACATGAACAAATACATTCTCGTACATAAAAACTGCAAAACCACCAGAAGATCACTGTAGAGCTCTCACCTGGGTCGGCCAAAGAAGTCTTCGTCATCATCCTCTTCCCTGTCGATCCAGGCGATATCAGCCAGAGAGGCTACCAAACCGTTCTGCCGTCTGGTACCAATCAGGATACCAGCATCCTCATTGTATGGATAAAGCTGTCAGAGAGTGAACAGCCATATTCAACACAGACAAATAAAACTGATAGAAACATGCCAGAGAAGAGCACACACCAAGGACACAACACTGCAGTTCAACAACTAATAAAAGAATTAAGTAAAAATGAGGGCAGTTCAGAGAAAGGAGACGAGTGGTGTTAATGAAAGGTTCAGGTACGTCAGTAGGTCTTTAAATCAGCTCAAGGTTGTTGACAGTTTCTGAACAAACTGACCTAAAGCAGACATACTGCATTCCTCATAGCTAGGGAGGGTAGCTGGAGACAGAAGAAGGGAAGAGAAAAGAGAAAGAACAGTGTTGAAGGAAAAAGAAATGTCAAGTTACTTATCACATGCCACTGAATTAAAATATCTCAAACACTGATTTGTTAACAGTTTAAAAACTTCTGAACATACAGTCAGTGCCCTAATGATAAGAAAAAATCTCACTTATAACGACTTCATCCACTCTGTTTATGGTTCATAAATGTAAACAGTCAGACAAGCCGAAGTAAACAAAAGCTGAAGAGGGTGTGTGATTGTGATTGGGTGTGTGAACAGTCAGCAGACAGGGGCAGAAAGACAGAAGGACGGAGGGTTATATCATACGTGACAAATTCAAAAACACTAAGTCACGAGAACAACAACATGCCATTATCTATTAAATAAAACATAAATATACAATTTAGGATCCTGGGAACCTTTCCTTACCTGAAAATGAACCCTGGGGCAGGGTTTAAGAGGAAGACTGGTCGCTATTCTCCTCACAATACTTCTCGAGGACCCATAGGGCTTGGCCGATCCGCAAGCCTGCAAAACAAAACATGTTTTAATATTTAAATCACAAATTAAAGAAAAAAAATAACATACCAAACTCTGTTTATCGCAGTCGATTTATTAATTAAGTCCAGCAGACGCAAAGTGCACAGATTTCACTATTCGATGGCTGGTACTTCACAGACCTTGCAACTGAGAGAACTTAACAATGGACTTCCAGATGAGAGCCAGATAAAAGTAGGAAAACAGCACACTGAGCGGACACTTATTGAGTCAGATATCGTCACATACCAGGTCCATTTCGATCTGTGCATCGTCTTTACTCATTTCTGTTGATATGTTTCACGAGGGCCGATGGAAAAACATGCCCCAACACCAAGGGCATTTTCACCAAACGCTCATCTGGAGAAAGCACCAAACAACAGTGAGAAATAATGAGGTTGAATCACCTTTAAATACACAAAACTTAAAACAAATAATGAGCTTTAGACCTCTACAACGTATACTGTGACATACATATATACACATACATATTAACTAAGGAAAGTCCAATATATTCATTAATGCCTAGAAGGAATTAGAATTTTGGAATAATATTAGTAAAATAAAGTTATTATTAAATGTACACAAATATGTTTACACTAAATGCACAGTAGGATGCAGAGTGGAGACTGTATTTAAGGTTAGGCAACAACAAATGTCACTTATTATCCTTATTACCAGTTACACAGAACATATTTATCACTGACATTAATAAAGCACTTTCTCTTTCTCTTCTGTCCATAAACTACAATCACTAATGACCGTTTCCAAGCGAACATTGACCCTCTTACAGATGTTTGTTTGTTTGTTTTAATAGTTATGAACTTAAATAAGGACACAAACAAACGCGTAAAAGTGAAAAGTGAGTTGCAGCAGTTGTGAGAGACAGATGTCAGCTGCTCTCATGCTTAAATTAAACCATTAAATCCTACTTTAGCGGGCAGACAGCGCTAAGTGAGGCTAACAGCGATAGCACCTTGAACCAACTTCACAACCGCGGACACATTTATCAGGAAACACGAGGCGCACACATCTATTTA